GCAAACAACCCAAAAAAAAAACAACGAACCCCTAACAAGATCTGCAGGAGAGAGCGAGAGTCGCCAGATCTGAAAAACAAACTATACAAGAAACATAAAAACCAAACAACAAGAACAAACAAGAAAACCAAAGGGGTCACCAAAGGGGACCCAAAAACCGACAGACCCGGGAGGGTCGTCGGAGGGGGGAGCACAGGGCGGCTCCAACCATGCTTGAACGGTCAGAAAACCCGGCGGCTCAAGCATCAAAACCTCGAAAGCTCAAAGGCTTCCGAGCAAAAACAACACAGCGACGGAGAAGGGAGGCAGAGGCAGGAGAGAAGGGAGAGAAAAGGGGGAAAGAGAGAGAATATCTTCTTCTTCTTCTTCTTTAATCCATTTTTGAATGTTAATAGTGGATTAAGTGGCAGATGGGCTGCCATCTAATCTTTGTGTCCAATCCAATCGTACATCTTATCTATTACTATTCCTGCGTTGAAAGTTGGAAACCACATAATTAAGGTAACTTTATTGGTTTAGAAGAGCATGCATATTCTCAGGCAAACCAGGGGCAGACAATTTTGGGCAGCCACAATAGTTGATACCAAAGACTATATAATACCTTTAATCTAAGGTTAGGTAAGGAAATTATTCAATTTTTGGGGGGGATGAAAAATCTGACTATTTTTTGATTATTTAACCATGCATGGGCGCAATGCATGTGGGTTTCATCACATGTACACATACAAGGATCGACATGATGTCTGCATGTCATTGATCTGCCGTACATCTTTATCTAGTGATTGCTGATTGGATCCCAATTTGGCAATTTAATATTTCAAAGCTTGAAAGAGGCAAGTGGCTGAGCTAGAAAACAAAAAAAATAGAAGGGCTAAATGAATCATATTAATAAAAAAAAGGATTAAAATTGTATAATATATAAAAATTTTAAGACAAAAATAATGAGAATAAAATTAGTAGAATATATGAATGATTTTTTGTAACTTTAGAGCTTATAAGACCCTAAGACCCCAAGA